CTTTGCTTCACCTCACAGGTGGTTGCTAGCCATTCCTGATTTCCTCAACTGTCATTAGCTCTCTGCAGTCCCTTCTAAATGTTGGGGTTTTTTACCTCAGAACACTGAGCTCTGCAGCTGACCAATCAGAGAGTGAAGGGTGCAGCAAGGCAGCTGCCTGGCACCCGCACAGGAATTAACGGGGGGAGCACATTTTACCCCTTTTGACCCACTTAGGGGTCAAATTTCTAAAAATCTATTCGTAGTGAGCACCTACGCCATGGTAGGAGCGCTCTTCCCGAATTCGGTGTCTCTAGGTCCAGCATTTTGGCCTGGGCGTTGATTTTACGGTGAGGGGACTTTCTTTTATATATATAAATGGTATTTATAGTCCACCTTTCTCACTGAGACTCAAAGCTGTGTACACAGTGTAAGACAATACATCAAGATGGGACCTCCAATAAACAAGGCAATAGGATTCGGATTACAGAAATATGAAAAGAAATCCAACAGAACATAAGCAGAAACAGAACATACATTGCTGGGCAGAATACAGATAGGATTCCACAAGCATTTACTATGGGACTGTGGAACAAGATAGGTAGCTGTGTTTGCCTGTAGCAGCAGAAAAAAGCAAGAGTCCAAAGCCGGAAGCTGCAGTCGGAAGCAGCCGTGCGCCGAGGAGTCCATCGGAAGATCCTGCCGGAGGAAGTTGCCGACCCATCCTGGGGGCGCCGGGAGCAAAAAAAAAAAAAAAAAAAAAAAAAAAAGAACGCGCCGCTTGGGTGCTGGTAGGTAGTCCCCCCCCATACAAATTGTGGTCCTAGGTAGGATTAACTTGTATGTGTAAACCGCCCAGAAACCCTTTGGGGTCAAAGGCGGTATATAAATCGAATATAATAAATACATAAATAAATAATAAATAGCACCTTAAAGACTAACAAAATTTGTGGTAAGGTATGAGCTTTCATGAGTCGCTGCTCACTTCATATGGGGCTACGTAATTTGTTTGTGTGTTTATTCACCACCCTTGTCTCCCTCTTGACCCAGACCCTCCCCTTTATAAAAACATTGTCTACACTACAGCATCCATATAAGCTTTCCTGTAAGACATAATTTGTGGATCCCAAACATTCTTTGCTAAATTTCTCACCAATCATGTTAACATTTCTGCTTACTATGTTTGGCTGTTCTTCCTTTTATTCTACCTTCTGTTTCTTCCAACAAATAAATATGAAATAATAACAAGGAAAAATAAAAGTTAAAAATTAGCTCCTGCACACTAGTAAACAGCTGTTCAACTGATTGCATATGATCAGAGGAGAACTGTACCCAGGTAAACAAAGAGACTTAAAAAAATGGAAATGAGTTGGCTCATTTTTTTCAGACTGTTTTACAAATTAGAGATGATTTTGAATCTGATCCTTTGTTTGAAGCCCCCCAAAAAGTAACACTCAAGACCTGGTGAGAGATGTAAAAGTGATTGCACCGCTTGGGAACAGTGATCATAATGTTGTTGAGTTCAACATTTGTATAAATAGGGAATTGGCCAAAAAGACTGACACAACCACTTTTAACTTTAAAAGGGGTAACTTCTCTGATATGAGGGGACATGCGGAGAGGAAACTGAAAGGGAAAATAGAAAGGGTCAAAACCATTGGGGAAGCTTGGAAACTATTTAAAACTATGATCCTAGAAGCTCAAAAATATATATATTCCGCAGGTTAGGAAAAGCACAAATAGGTA